TTTCGGTTTACGATCAAAGGAAATATCGGAGAATTTTGTCCATCCTATTACTATCGTTTTCGATCCTATCGATCAATAGCCGTTTTAGAGGAAAAAGGGAAAATAGAAAAGGAATTTCCTAGGATTTTCGCGCGTTTCTAAATCCTGAGACGTCGAAGCAATTTTCCGAGACAAGTATCGCTTTAATCGATTTCCCGTGCAGAGCCGCGTATCCAGAACCATGGCGATCCAAGCTGGACGACTTTCAGAAGATGTTGCTGCTCAAGTGTCTTCGACCGGACAAAGTGACCAACGCGATGCAACTGTACTTGGCCAAATATTTAGGCCACGAATTCGTCGAGCCTCGAACTACCGAACTGTCTGCCGTTTACCACGAATCTTCGCCAACTACGCCCATTGTCTTCGTTTTGTCCACCGGCACAGATCCCGCGGCGGAACTGTACAAATTCGCGGACAAGTTAAAGATGAGCACGAAATTGCACGCTATCTCGCTCGGACAGGGACAAGGTCCCAGAGCCGAAGCGATGTTAAAGTTATCGGCGGAGCAAGGTTACTGGTGCTTCTTTCAGGTATGACTTTTTTTTTCCTTTTCCTTCTCCTTTTTCTTCCAGAAACAAAGAAACGAAAGTTGCCTGTTAATCTGTGTAAATTTATAGCTTGTTTTACGGGTAAAAGTACGGCGAACGACTTGCTCGAACGCGTAGGTTTCGGCAAAGTACGAGTTTTCGTCCCAAAATACCCCATCTCCCGCGTTACATCGCGTTCGCCTTCCAACATCGAAAATCCTATATATCGTGTTTCGAACTACGTCGGCGAAAAATGTCTCGTTTTAATGTTTTAAGCGTAATTCGCGTATAACGTAGATAGGAAATGTTTCGGTTAAAGCGATATGATGATAAATTTCCAGCAGTTGTAGCGTGCAATTGCGATTAAATTTCCCGTATTATCGTAATTTACGTTCGCTTAACAGAGTTTATCTACGTGTATCGTGTTACGTAAATCGATGAAACGAACGTTCGAAATAACGTAATCGCGTAATTCGTGTGACAGAAACGCGCGATACGAGATAAATATTGGGCGGAGAGAAACTAAGATCGAGCGTTTGTTAAAGCGTTCGATCACGGTGAAAGTTGAAATTTTTAAGTTTCGAAAAGTTAGACCGAAAAATATCGCGATCGTCGATCGAACGGACATATCGTTGTTCAAAGAAACAGGACGACACCGTTGGGGAACGATAACAGACAGGGGTAGAGAGAAGAGGATGATAGCCTGTTTATCTTCGGGATATATCTGTACGTACGCGAAAAGGAGGAGGAAGCAAATCTATCGTTGCTCGACAACGAGATAAAGATACGGAGAGACGCGTTTCGATTAACGCGACGAAACCAAGAGTTCCCTGTCTCTTATTTGTTCATCTCGTTGAATTACCACCGAATATCGTGGAGATACTTTTCGAGTGAGAGGCGCAGGATATTCGTTAAATAGCCGTGATCTTAGTTTTTCCCACAAATTTACCATCGAGAATTAGTAGGATAGATGGTAAACGAAAGATAAGGTTCGCTCGATCGCGCGACGCGGAAGAGCAAAGGATAACGAAGCGTAGGTAACGGGCGAAAGAGACGAAATCTCTTCTACGAAGAAGCGGTAGTCGCTTCTTCTTCTCTTCGTTATTCCAGACAGTTGGAATCCATCGAAACCCTCGGCGTTTAGCCGATGCTTTGCGTAGAAACCAGCGTATAGAATATAGACACGACGAAAGAAATAGTCGAAAGATCGAGGATACGTTTTCGCAGAATTGTCATTTGGCCCCGAGTTGGATGCCGGAGTTGGATTCGCTGGTCGAGCGTCTATCACGGGCGAAAAACCATCGTGATTTTCGCTTATGGCTAACCTCCGCACCTTCGCCGGACTTTCCCGTCAGCATTCTTCAGAACAGCAGTAAAATGACGGTCGAACCACCCCGGGGAATAAAGGTAAACAAAATGCTGGTATTTTAAATTGAAAACCTTACTCGCCTTCTTCTTTCTTCTCATTCTCTTCGAAGAATATCTTCCTCGATCCTTTACGTAGAATTCTACCAAACTCGTGGAAAGTATTCTTTGGAGGACGGAAGAGAAAAAAGCGTTGTTCGCTTTCAGGCAAACATGTTTCGCGTGTACTTGACGCAAGTGACGGAGATGCAAACGTTTATCGACTCTGCTCATGCGAAAGTTGGCCACTTCAAATGGTTGGTATTTTCCTTGTGTCTGTTTCACTCGGTGCTGCTGGAACGAAGAAAGTTCGGTTCCTTGGGATTCAATATACCGTACGAGTTCACCGACGGTGATTTAAGGATATGCATATCGCAGTTGCACATGTTTCTCTTGGAATACGATATCGTTCCGTTTAAGGTATAAAAGCTTAAGCTCGTATTATATCGATACACGTGCATAATTGATTTCTCATGGTTTCGCGTCGTTCAAACAGGTGTTGATATACACAGCTGGTCACATAAATTATGGCGGCCGAATCACGGACGACTGGGATCGTCGATGCGTGCTAACCATTCTGCGAGATTTTTACAGGCAAGAGATTCTGTCGTCGTCGTACCAATTCGACGAAGAAGGACGTTACGTTCAAGTGTGTATCGTTGTCGTAGCGTGGTTTTACGACGCGAAGAAACTGAAAATTATCCGTCCGATATCGATAGCCTCGAGAAAGGTTAAAAAAATGAAAATCGTTGGAAACGTAATATTTTTCGAAATATTACGAGATAAATCTTCGAGATAATTTCCGGAATAGAAGATGTACGAACGGTATCGGAAACGATGTCGCGATAGCAGCAGTACGATAGACGTTATCCGTTGTTTATATCGGAATAACCGTAATACAATTTAAGATCCACTTGCGTTTCTACGACAAATCGCGAACAACGAAACGTTTTTCGCGCGTTCCAGCTACCAGACACGGCCACGTTCCACGATTATATCGAGTACGTGAAAACCTTCCCCCTCAACGACGACCCATCGATGTTCGGAATGCATCCAAACGCGGATATTAGCTTCGCGCAAGCGGAAACGTACGCCTGCCTGAACACGTTACTCGCGCTTCAGCCACGACAAGTCGGAACCGCGGCTGCCAGTGTCGAAGAGGTGACCAATCGATTAGCCCGAGATATGCTGTCGACGATACCACGAACCTTCGATTTGGCCGCTATGCAGCAAAAGTATTTCATATTCTTTCCGCGCATACATGGATACGGCGTCTCTGTTTCTCCGTCTACGCGGCAAACGACCACGAATCGCGATTTGCGTCACCTTCTTCGTCCTTTTATTTTCTACGCTCGCGATCGTTATTCCGCCTTACGAGCCTAACGCGACTTCGACGACCGAGATTCCCTACATTTCGAACGTACAAAAGACGCTACGAAAACCTTCGATACTCGTCTTTCGTTTGTTCGTTTCGTTTTATGCCAAACGAATACACGATATATATCTCAGGATATATATCGGAAATATATCTCAGGTATCCGGTATCGTACGAAGAGTCCTTTAACACTGTACTGCTTCAAGAAGCTATACGCTATAACGGTTTACTGGATGTGGTAAAAACAACACTGGTGGATCTGTTGAAAGCTTTAAAAGGATTGGTTGTCATGTCCGAATACTTGGAAATTGTGTCCAACAGCCTCTACACTAACAGAATTCCGCAAGTTTGGCAAGATAAGGGTTATCCTTCGTTAAAACCTCTCGGTAACGCTTTCACCGTCGCGTATCGAAGTTTAACCGTTCGATTCGTTGTCGGAACAGACTTTCGAATTTTTCTTTGAATGATCGAGTTCGACGGTGGTGCAGGTGCTTGGTTCCTGGACTTGAAAGAACGAATCCAATTTTTAAGATCTTGGGAAAACAGAGGGATACCGGCAGCCTTTTGGATTTCCGGTTTCTACTTTCCGCAAGCATTTTTAACGGGCACTTTGCAGAATTTCGCACGCAAATACGTCGTATCCATCGACGCGATTGATTTCAGTTTCCAGGTAGCGAATCGATCGAACGATCAATTTCCTACGATATTATTCTTGTTACATCTTGTTACATCGCCGATGTGAAATGCGAATTTTACGCAAGCTACGATATACTATGGATAAAGATTCGATAAAGAAACGTAAAAACGGATAAACGTCGAATTACTTTTAACGTTGTAGGTATTAAAATCGATACCAGAGCACAGACCGCCAAATGGTTGTGTTATTTATGGCCTGTTTCTTGAAGGATGTCGATGGGATGGAAACTATTTAAACGAATCTTTACCTAAGGAGCTATATACCAGTAAGTATAACGATAATTCGAAGAAACGTTATAAACGTCATATTCTTTTCCATAGCTTCGGCGTATTCGATCAATTATTTCGATATGCTTTCGGTATACATATTCTCTATCTGTTGCGCTACGATATGTACCTATCTAAAATATATCTATTTACCATTTGCTATTTTATAACTGCTATCGATGATTACGATTGAATTTTATCATCTACATCCATTTTTTACTAAATTATATGCTATAACCTCTGCTAAAAACCCTTTCTTTCCCTCTCTTTGTAATAATACCAACTCTCTGTCTAAGTGATTTCGTGAATATCTTTTCGCAGACATGCTTCCGATTCTACTTTTGCCGGAAGTAGATCACAAGCAGCCCGAAGGAATCTACGTTTGTCCAGTGTACAAAACTATCAACCGAGCAGGAACATTGAGCACTACCGGTCATTCGACAAATTTTGTATTGCCGATGGAAATTCCTAGTGAAAAACCGCAAGCTCATTGGATCAAGAGAGGCGTAGCTCTGATTTGTGCATTGGATTATTAACGATATCTATTTTAATGTTCTTTGTTTCGCTTGTAATCTCCATGTAATTGCTCTACATATTATTCGTATTATTCTTTGTGCGAGCAAAACAAAATACTTGGTATAAAATTACGATAAAACGACGGAACAAGGGTATTATTATTATTGTTGCTGTTGTTGTTGTTATTATTATTATTATTATCATTATCGTTAACGAGAACGGGCAACGAGTGTAACCATTGTTATTGATCCGTTCTAATCGTTTTATGCATCTCTTTCGTTTAATTTTCGATCCTTCCTTTTTGATCTTCTATATTCCTCGTTAGCCCATTTAACGATCACAACCGTCGATAGAAATGCTGCGACGAAATAAGTGCTAATTAGTTTTTCATTTCTTAACAATAAAATAGTAATGTACGTAATCGTATTATAAAATTGTTAAGAAAATTTCATTATTCTTTTATGCGCGATTTCGAGAATGCGTTATTTTACCTGGCACCATCGGCACTAAAGCATGCATCGATCGTTTCAAGAAATTCGGTAAGCCATGAGAAATGGATTTTGCCCAAAATCTTTGATGCGTTGCGCACAAGCTATAATACATAATTTTTCTTATTCGTACCGGTAATTCTCCAAATTTTAAAACCATGTTATATATTGATCTTTTGAGTTTTCGACGGAAATAACGTGTACGCGACCCAACGTACAGATTGGTATAAAATTTTCCAAGCGAAAGACAAAAGCATTTCGACTTTTAATGCTGCCTCCAACACGTATAAATGTACGATGTTTCGAGCATTTATACGTAACTATACAAATAAACGACCAGATAAAGCAAACAACCACGCGGATATTTAAATATAAATATATTTATTTCGACAAAAAGGAAAAAGAAATATATATATAAATACTACGCATATATCATATACACAATGATACAATATAACAGTATAAATATAAACAAAATACGCTAGAAACGACAAACATCAAAAAGTATGCAGAAATCATGGTGCAAGACACAAGTATTTGGAAATACATTTCCTAAATTTAGAGACAAGTATTATCTGCAGGCATATGTTCCAAGACTTTCTGTGGAATAACAAATTTATCTGGATTTTGTTCCAATAAGCATCCTAGAAGCCGTGGTACCGACAATACAGTGCCAGATATCACGGAAGGGAAGGATGGCCCATCTACCGACCGATAAATAATCTGCAATCTTTTACTAAAATATTCACCGTACACGGATATATGACCAACTTCGATGTATTGTCTCGAGAAAGGAGACCACAGTTCGAAAGATACGCGCATTGATTCCCAAGGTCGCAATTCCGAAGACGATCTCAGCACAATTTGATAATGATCGCACACGTTATCGTACAACTTGCATACGGTGTTTAACAATCTTTCAAATTGCGTATGATACTCTTCGCTTTTCCCATCCTTCACCAATATAAACGCAAGCGCAGCCGAAGCTTGACAAACAGTGAACAAACCAATCGGGGTAGAACCTGCTCGAAAAGGGGTGTATTGCCTGCCAGTGGAAAAATATGCTATTGGAAAATGACGTGGATCTATTAACTGCTTTGCGTGCATTGCCAAAAATGAAAATAAACTTGCACCTCCAACAAGGTGCATACGATTCGGCGAATCTTTATCTACTTCGTTATAATTGTCTATTATAAAAGCGTCCGCAGGATCTTCGTGATTCAAACCAGAACCGTCTATTATCAAGCTACGACTAAAATCTGCGCCCGCTACTCTGATCATATTATCCGCGCCAAGTATTTTTCCAGCGTAACTTAATATACCAAGTTCGAAAAGAGCCGCGTCGTTACATAAATAGTACTGCATTGGATTTCTATACTCCAACAAACCAAGATGTCTTCCAATTTCGACGTGATTCTTCTTATCCGGGTGTGGACGTTCATTTAAAGAATTAACGCGTTTTAATACGATAGGACCTTCGACCGGTGTCTTCCCGTCTAATTCGTTTGGTAATTGAAACATTTTCTTCAAAATACTTTCCTTTAAAGTCTCTAAGGCATCTTTAATCGTTCTCAAGTCATGCTTTACCACTGAGATTTGCAATTTTAATTTTGTAAATTCCGCTTGTTCCCCCGTGGTTAAACTTTCTTGTTTCTCAAAAAAAGGAACTAGTTTGTCCGATATCTCTTGGCTTCTCTGTTCTAATTTAGATTTATTCGTATGCACAGAATTGTAAAAGTCCCACATACTTTTAACATCCTTGGCGTTCAAATTTAATTTTCGCGCTGTCAAATCTTGCTGTAACCTTTCCATATCTGTTAATCTTTTATCAAAATCTATATACGGCTGTATAAACGAATAATATTCTTTGCCATCGATGTTTGAAATAAATAACGCAGAAGTATATCTTTTAGAAATCCATAGCGTATCGACAAATTTCAAAGTATTACGCGTTATGCACTCGCGAACCATACGTTTCTCTAGGAAACGTGCTACGTGATTCGCCATTGTAACTGTCTATAAACTTTTACGACTTTCCGACGACCTTTGTGATCTTTATACGCTTCTGTACGTTTCTCGAAAACAAATTTCGTTTATAAAAAAGCTAATTTCTATGCATCCACTTTTGGTATTTTAGTTTTTGGTGGAATACCCGACTCAACGTCCATTTTGCAACTGTCACGACTTATCGTCTCGATCTTTCTCTTTTGTGGAGCGATATAACTTCCTTTGCCAGCTGCCCTTTCCGATTCCTCGATGGAATACGGCTCCAGTTCAAGAGCTTTCAGTCTTCGTTTATGAACTTTTGTCGTAAAATGATCGCTTAAAGCGATATCATTTATAAAGTATCTCCTACGGATGAAAATAAATTCTTTAGTACATCTCAACGTTCATAATACAAACGTAGAGACATCGCGATATACAAAATAACCATTTAAATGTAAAAGTAATACATATGTACGCACAAAGGTTAGGAAATAACAGAGTACATGTATCCAAAGGTTATATTATTCAAAATGATATATCACGTTACGTTATACACTCACGCGCAATGAATACAGTAGTATTGACCTGCTCCGGGTTTATCCAAGTCTACTTTCTGATTTAATAGCCTCTCTGCATTTTTGTCATTCAAATCTTCATCGATCTAAAATAAAGAATATCGTGTAACAATTGCCGTTCGTACGTACGTACCCACGTGGCATATCATAAAGGTTAGGTTAGATTTTTAAAATTAAGTTGTTATTATACCTCGTCCAAATCTTTCGTTCTTCTTTTAGTTCGCCAACCTCTTTTTAAATGTGTGTCCCCCCTGTGATATTTTTTACGTTTATAAGTCATTCCCAATGAAAGATTAATTTACACGATGAAATTAAATTCCACTGCCTATCACGTTCACACCTACAAAACGGTATTACAACAAACAAGGAGTACGTATGTTTCGACGAAATGTGTGCAAATTGCTATGTCCAAAGGAATGCCTTCTATCCTCGATTTATTAAGATAGACGATAAATAATAGTTATATATCAAATTCAATAATTCATGCAGTTGTAACGATTCAGTGTGAATTCATAACCTGTTTGAAAAAATGCAAAGAAATAAGGTAATAAGTGTGTGGTAAAAGTTTGATTTACGGCTCGTTCTCATCGAAACGAGCGTTAATCTTATAAAATCTTTAATCTTACACAAAGTGTTTATACATTCGTTTTAAACATTCGTTTTAAACGATGTACGAAGTGTATAAAATCAACGTGTACAAATTGATTATGTATATAATAGAATTTATAGTAGTTTCACGACTGCTGGAGACTTTTTAGCGTTGCTATTGGTCAAACGTCACGGTGGCTTCGCCTTTATGAGAATTCGTAAAAAGGTTATAATGGTGTGATAGAGTTTCCAGTGGTAAGTATCGTGAATGGCATTAAAATTCGTCGGTATTCTTCTGCGATCGTAATTCTTTCAAACGCTTCTCTGAAAACCAACGAAATCGAGAGCAGATACATTTTTGTGAAATGAACTCGAAACATAGAATATATCGACGAAGGTGATATTAGAAACGGCAAATTTACAAATTGCCTCGAGAAAGTACGGATGATAAGCAAATGTTTAGTATCGAACGTTTAACGTAAATATACAAGAGAGATGAGAGTTAACCGAAGAAGAAGAAACTAGGATTAAAAAGAAAGAACATTCGTAAATGGGCATGCGCAGTAATTTGCTTTGAAAGTGATGGTAATGCTGTGGTAGAACCGGCAGATGTCGGTATAATATGTTAGAGTAGGTCGCGCCTCTATCGGCGAAGCGTCACATCAATTCAAACGGTGCGCCAGTGACTTGAGGGGGGTCCACACCATTTTGAAAGTAAAAATACTGCGCGACCCGGGATTTTGTTTGTGCGGTTCGGCGAGGGTAAAAAAGCGGCGAGGGCTAGGCTGTGTGGTATGGTCGGGGCAACGCGGTGTCGCGCGTAAAATGACGTAGAATGTGCGAGGGTGTGCCGCGTGCGGTACGAGGTGTGTTAGCGGAAACGGTGTCGCGGTGTGTAGGGTCGGCGCTGACCGTAGCTATCGTAGCGTACGGGAAATTGGCTGTGGCTTCG